CAATTGAGGCGCTCGTCACTCGAGATTCTACTGTACCTCTCTGTGGATGTAAATTTAGAAAATAGTGATAAAACAATAAGTGAACATCAGAGGATAAAACAGAAGCATCAGCAAAGTCAAACATCAGGCGTCATCAAGTGCCTGACCAAGCCTAGCAGAGCACCTCCACTCAGTGAAATGATAAATATTCACTTATTTTTGTGTTCTTCTTACACTTTGCATACAAATTAATAATTATATAATAAAAAAAAAAAATTGATGTTTTTTAGTTTTTTAGTCCACAGGCAGGTATGACCATTTCTCCATAACTGCTGCCTAAGGATTAAAAAGTTTCTTAACAACCCAAAAATTGCTATTGGGCAAGGCTCTGGCTAAAGTGTGTTAAAGAATATCCACATGGGTAAAAATCTGGCTAAACAAGGTGGGGGTTAGGTAAGACGGGTCATGAAGGAGTTTCAGGCAATCCTGCACACCAAAAATTGTAAACATGTAACTTGTCCCCTATTTTTTGCATAAATGCTTGTGTTAACAAACATTTAGCTTCTCTCATCTTTCACGTTATTTAAAATCGGATAGCAGTGATGTGTATATGTGATCCAAAGAGTGATTGTGAACAATATCTATCAGTCAGCCTCTTTGCTATTAGAGGTAGCAAACAACACTCCTTCACTTTTTAATGTGATGGAAATTTGGTATGTTGTTTATATTGTCTGGTATTGCAAAACCATGTACATGTATTTACATTTTTTTATGGTAAAATGGATGGAATGGGTTGATTATGTATAAATAATGAAGGGAGGAAGGCGAGGAAGGAGGCAGCTGGTGGTGATGAGCGAAGCATTGCTAACCACTACCTCTTACCTCTCAAAATTCCTTCCTGGGGGATTATTTTGTGGCCCCAAAAATATACATGTTATTTATGATTATCATATTGATAAATATTATATTTCTCTTATCTTTCATGTTATTCAGAACTGAATAGCACAGGTTTATTTGAGCTGGAGAATGCTGTAAATATTATCTGGGTATTGGCCATTTGCTTTGTCGATGGGTGACAACAGCACGCTCCTAAATTTGTTACATGATACAAGTTTCTTATGTGATTTATGGATACTGATGTTACAAAATTCTGTATCCTTGGTTATTATTTAACATTATCTATAATTAAAAGTGTAGTTAGGTTGATAGGTTATACTGTATATATATAAATATAGAACTGAAATATTGGTGAAGAAGGTGTGATATATTTTTAAGGATGAAGGAGTGTATATTTGTTGATGGAGGAAGAAGTGTGTATATGTTGATGGAGGGAGATGCTATATATGCTAATATATATGCATATATGTTGATGGAAGGAGGCGCACATATATGTTGATGGAGGGACACGCACATTTATGTTGATGGAAGGAGGCGCACATTCCAGTATATGTTGATGGAGGGAGGCGGTCTTACATGTTGATGGCAGGAGGAGTTGTGTATGGCAGGATGGAGTAACAAATAGAGGGAGGAGTAGCTAACATGTTACTCGTTATCTATCTTGAGATGATTTCGGGGCTTTAGTGTCCCTGCGGCCCAGTCCTCGACCAGGCCTCCACCCCCCAGGAAGCAGCCAGTGACAGCTGACTAACACCCAGGTACCTATTTTACTGCTAGGTAACAGGGGCATAGGATGAAAGAAACTCTGCCCATTGTTTCTCGCCGGCGCCCGGGATCGAACCCGGGACCACAGGATCACAAGTCCAGCGTGCTGTCCGCTCGGCCGACCGGCTCCCATAATAATTGCATAATTATGCAATGCCCTCGTGCATAATTTTCAATTTTATTTACTTTACAGTATTCATTATAAAATATTGGGGGAATGTGTTGTGCATAAAATGCAAGAAAACAGTGGTGAAGGAAGGAAAGAGGCAGCGGTGACTGTGTCAATAGTATTTGGCAGGCAGCCATTTTCAGTGGCTGTGAACAGTGCTGGAACGAGGGTTTGTGAACTACGTATACCCTGATTTTGTAAACTTAGGCACACGCTAAAGCTATATACTGTACAGGATTCAGGTTTAGGGTTCACAAATGGGTCTTTCCATAATTATAACAAACAAGTGATTTTAAATGAAAGAAACTTAACAAACCATAGCTAATAAATGCCTCCGTTAGTACAGAAATTGAACATAAAAAACCTTGAAATTGAGATGCTGACATATGCCATATACAATACAACCTCGATTCAAAGAACTGTAGCATATGGGGCCAACCCCCAGTTCGTTACAGTGAGGGATTTGTTGCAACTTGAGATGCCTACAGGATGCATTTCCCACACCCTATGGGCTAATTGATCTGTCTTATTAAGCTCCTTTTTCCCTCTCTGCTCATCTCCTTCCTGATGAGGTGTAGCAGGTGTTGGGCATGTTCTGAACATATTTTCAGCCACTGAAATTTGGTATTCCAGCTTAGGACTGCCCCTTCCTCCTGCCATATGTGCAGAATGGGTCCATCCTGGACTTGGTCACTACATACTCCCTGGAGTTTCATTGCCATAGATCAAAAATCTACTCCACTTGTTTCCACACTTGAACTTTGTTGGCCAGAGGGAAGATGATGATGATAAGCATTCTCTTCTGGTTCAATCACGTCGCTTATCGGTGGGAAAGAGGAGCGACACTAAGAAGAGGCTAATCCTTGATGTCATAGGCTATACCAAGAAGAGGATAATCCTCAATGTCTCGACCTATACCAAGAAGAAAATCCTCTATCTCGTGCTATACCAAGAAGAGGATAATCCTCGATGTCTCTAGTTATACCAAGAAGAGGATAGTTCTTGATGTCTTGGGCATCCATAAACACATTCTTTGCCCAACCATTATGATGACCAACATGTCCATTGTTCACCATTTGGTTGTGAAATGCCTATGGGCATTTACCCATCCATCTGAAGATCCAGAACTGGCTGGGGTTTTATTTCAATAACACCTAATTTCAGATTCTCCCCTTCAGCTTAAATCTGGCTCCCAGGGTTTCTATCAGTCTTGGAACATATTGGCAGTGCTGGCCAATTTTGGCTTTCTTACTTGATTGGGACTGGTATGTGAGGTATCATGGCATTCTCCCTTTTCTTGGATATAGCTCTCTCCCAGTTAGCTTGTCATCATCATGTGTTCTTAGAAAGCTTTCCTTCTCATGCCAGGAGAACCAGAACATCTGGGTTTAATTCAGTTTTGTAAGTGGCGAATTCTTTTGGCTGCATCTTCCTGAAGCTGTTGAATTGATTTTCACCATTCATATGCTCTTTGCCAGCTCTGGGATTGCCACTTGTGGGTCTTGTGATTTTGAGAGGTCTTTGGAGTTTCCTATGGTGGCTTTTTGAGCTTCGGTGCTTTGGAGTCCTCCAGCTCCTTGCCTTGAGCTTTATACTTGCATGTCTGGTGAGGGTTGGAGCTTTATCTTCTGCTTTCACCATGTTGGTTCCCAACATTTTTGTTGCTGTCTCCCTGTCTCCACTTCATTGTTTCAGTGATGTTTTTTCCTTAAGAGGGGAGATATCTCCAGGTCTTTCTTATGGTGTTAAATACAGTACTGCCCAAACCTTGTCTTCTTACTTCTTGAAATTTTGTCCCAACAATGGTCAGCATTTTCAGAGTGTTGAATGTGCCTGACTGTGATGGATATATGACCATGAAGATTATGACGACAATTGACCTTACAGTCAAGTCAATCACCAGGGAAGATTGACCCCCAGGCAATTCTGCAGCAACAGAAGAGCTATCAAAATTAACGGATGATCAACAGGTAATTGGATATGCGGCATATTCCATATGCCTCATGTAGATGTCTTTGCATTCACATGAAAGTACACATTCACTGTTTATGCAGCACTCTCCCTCAGTTGGGATGCTTTTTCCATGAATGCACTGTCTCAACTGGAACCCATTTGAAGTCGATTTATCCTATTTAGTTCAAGATGTTTTTGACTAGCTTCCTTGTGGCCATTTCATTATAAGAAGAGGGCTTATTTCCAGCTCTGCTTATAATGCTGCTATTTGATTTCTTTTCCTGAACTTCTTATGCTGAGGATCAGCCTTCTGTTATATGAAAACTACCTGGCACTCCAGTGATTTTCATGTGTGATGTTTCTAGGGCAGGTCTATAGCAGCTTTTATGGAGAGCAGGTGGCTGTGACCCTTATTCATCACTTCAAGACATCATCAGCCAGGAGGTGGCTTGATATCCTGCCTTTTTCAGCCTTACAGTCTTGTCATTTCTTGCAGCTTTTTGAACCGGCATCTCATGCCCAATATTATATATTTGTCCCGGAGCTGCTATGGATGAGTTGCTTCTTTCAGTCTCAATCTGTACAGCTTTACATTCCTTAAGCCTGGGAGGGCATATTATTATATTATACTCATCTTTCCCTTTCTTCTTTAAAACCCACTTGTTTCCTCAATACTATGCTGTATTTGCTTTTCTTTCTTCATTTTCATATCTCTCCTCTTTTGAAAATCTTTCCCTGAAGACTATCTTCCTCTATGTTTTTATAACAGACTTATGGGTTAGTAAGCACCATGCTCCTTTTCATCACTCTTGGTTTATTTTCTTTGGTTGTTGGGACTCCTTTACATGTCTATTCTTAGCCAAGCATTGGATCTTAAAGGCAAAGTCCTATCTTGATCAAAACCTCGTTACATCATCTTACAGTGCCCCATTCCAATTGTCCTGTGGCATTTCTGTTTCTGAATCTTCACACATGATTATGTGTATTAAAGCCCATGTCAGTTGTGTCAAAGAATGGATAAGCTGGGCGAGCCACAGTGTATTCATGGGGCCATGATCTTTGAGATTTTGGCATGCTGAAGGCATTCTTTTTGTTGGTATCTTGTGTTGTCATCAGTGGTCAGGGTTTAGGAAGTCCAGGTGAATGTTTGCCTCCCGGTACCCTTCCAAGGTTTCCCACCTGCATCGGTAGTGTGGCCTTGGGCAGGCTTTCATCATGATGACCCTTTTCTCTTCAGGCGAGGTCGGGTCCTGGGGGATGCGGCTGCTGTTCCTCCTGCCGCTTCTCCCTCTGCAGCTTCTGTTAACATCACTCTGCAGCCCAGGTGAGCCTTACCCTTGTTGTATTTAGGGTGGCTTCTGCTGAGACTTGCTTTAGGGAGCACCCAAGTGCGATAGCTCAGAAATTTTGCTTGAAGTGCATATGAAAAGCGCTTTTCTGAGGAGTACACTTGGTTGCTCCCATTTCCACTCTTTCTTCCCTGTCTCACCTGTGCTTGGTGGTGGTTTACTCATAGCATAGGATTCAGGTGGAATGTTAGGAGGATGGGTTGGTAGGCTTCGTTGTGGTGCAGTTACAGCTACCTGGTTGCATTTGGCGGTTGTGATCTATTTTGGGTTGTTAGGCAATTAACCTGAGTGCAGCTTGGCGATATATGTTGCCAAGTTGTGCCTAAGAAGGCTTTTGAGTTTATGTAATGCACTTTTCTGTGAACATTCTGAACTGGATTGTGTGTTCTCCAGTGACTCCCCAGCACCAGTATGACCCAGTGAGGACAGTTTGAAAAAATTCCCTGCCGTGCTGATGCAAAATTTTAATTTGCCCTAACTCAGAAGCAGAAGTCGGTAGGATCTTGATTGCCTTTGGAAGCAACCGAGTATACTGCTCAGAAAAGTGCTTTTCATATGTATTCAGAGCCAGATATTTTGTTAATATGTCTTCATGCTTGTACAGTGCCCTGTTATGTACCTTCTGATCTTTTGTATTAAAATTTCCAAAGGTGTAAAATGCAGTTATAGTTATCTTAAGTTATTGATTGTTTGGTACTCTCTTCATACATTTTAATTGAATTTACGTGTATTAACAAGTTGTTTAATGGAGTAGAATGCTAGTTTTGATGTATGATTATGAAATGGAAATTGATATTAGACGATTAACTAGTGGTGCAAGAAGTGGTAATTGAAAAATACACATCATTGTTTTAAGGATTGTAAAGGTTATAAGTTACTTAAGAATATGATAAAGCCTCCAGGATGTTTTGGGTATGCAGACCAATGCACTGCATATTCCTATGTCTTGCAGGGTTTGACCAAACAATGCAAAACAGCATATATAAAGACTGATCTTCAAGTTGAGATGAGCTTCCTAATGTTACTTTTCAGGTAGACAATATTACTGTACTTTGTTTATAAATATTCAGCATTTATACAGTCAGATGATCATGAGTGATCATCTAACTGTATAATTTTCTTGCGTTGGTGCTTGTTTATCTGTGATGCTACATATAATGAATGGCCATTTTATATATACATGTATATAATTATAATATCTAAAAACCTTTTACTATATTGTTCCTCTCTTTGAGCTATGCCACACAATGCAAGACCCTTTTTTAGCCCAGAAAAAGTTTTTTTCATGTCGAGTCATGCCATGTCAATCTCTGCCAATGGATCGGAGATTTTTTCAAACTATCTTTCTTCAAACTAGAAAAGAATCACATTCTTTGTCCAGTAGTGGATTATTTGAGATTCTACTGCTGGGCTTTGTTCTTGAATCCTTTCTCTATGCTGCCATGCATGAAAGCTTTGCTATCCCAGTTGATCCACAGGGTTATAAAGCTTAGTCGCCACATATCTACCCTAAAACTTGTATTTTGTAGCGAGATGCTGCATTAACAGCTATTTCCTCGTATGTCCACTGGCAACATTTGGACCCAAAATGGCTGGAAAGTCAACAGGGCCCTCACAGTCAGGTACATTCCTAATCTACCACATTCTTGTCCACTGTACCACCATTGGGCAACTGTCAAGTGTGAGGTCAACGGTTCCAATCTACACGGTTCCCCTTGTCATGTATAAGAGCATGTTTTCTATTATTTACATAGTTTAGTCCCTTTTTGGGGCACCTTGGGGAATAAACTGAGAGGGTAACTATGTAGAGGTGCAAACTCAAGAAATATTGTGTTGAAGTGTAATGAATAGGCACTGTTCCATACCTTGCTATCGTGTTATTTATATCAGGGATATGCAGGGGTGGCTTGAGTGTGAGGTGGGTTCCTTTCCTGACAATTTTTGAAGGAGAGTTAAGTGTATTGTTATTTCCTTTGGTTTGTTGTTTAATCTCGGTAGTGGGTAAACCTCTGATCCGGACGAGCTTTCCCACCATATGGAAGGGACAAGATTATTAAAGAGGGTACTTGGCCCTTGGTGTTGTGCTGAAATTGTCCCCAGAATCCTGAGTCGGTGTCCTTTGTGGGTAACAAACTGAGGAAAGCTACCCAGGTGCAACCCAGAATGTGATATTTTATTTTACTCAATACTTTATTTTAGATATTTGCCGTCTCCACACTCTTCTAAAAACATACAATACTTACACATAGTTTTATATATATTTATTTTCAGTGCTTTCATGGGATAATTACTTTTCAAGACGCATATTTAATACTGTATATATTTACTTATATATAATATTTTCTGCCTTTGTATTATAAGCTTCATTTTTAAACAATACTTTCTGCAAATATACTTCAATGCATTTCCTTTAATGCTTCTTTAATATTACTGCTTAATGTGTCTGCAGAGTTGGCAGTTGCAGCAAGAGTAACAAACCAGAGGTGCAGCCTCCAGACCTGTGGATTCATCACGATCATCTGGAACTTAAAAACTTTGACAAGGGTGAACGCAGTAGTTCACCAAATCATGCGGCCATTATTAACCACACAGGTCAGAGCAAAATTAGTGAATAGCTTAAGTAATTAAATTAATTTGTTTTTTCGCATAGATGAGCGTAACCATCATCTCCTAAAAGGATTATAATGAGATCTGATATGCACATGACCTTTGATTAAACAGTACATGTACTATTTTTTTGGTTTTTGGGATTTATAGATCTGGTATAAGTTGTGAGAAGAATTGTATTTTTAATTCGAAACAGCAAGTTAGATGTAGACTTTTATGCTAATTGACATTTTAGTGTATGGGGGCTATAACAAAATCTAATGGATACACAGTGCTAGTTATTTATAAGGAAGGGGTGAGCCTAAATCAGACAGGTCTGTAAACATGTGAGAGACTAAGCAAGAACATTGTATTGATAAATAGCTTCACATTCTTTATATAGAAACAGTTTGAGAATGGTAAAACATTGTTAGGATTGCCTTTATTCTGTTCAAAGGTGATGTTGCATTTAATGGATTCAGGTTCTCTGCACTTCCTTTCAATGTTGTTTTCTTCTTTGATAATGAGTTTAACATTCTTAAAATTCAGTATGATGCATTTGTTACTATACATTGTTAAATTACTTCAGAGTATTGTGTATGCTCCTCCCATTTTATTAGTTCTGCCTTGTGTGTGTGTGTGTTACATTATACATAGATACAATGAGCAGCACTTGGTAAATTTTAAGGATGCTAATCTTATTATCAAAGCATAAGGAATTTAAAACACAATTTAACAGAATTAAGAACATTTTCAATCTACTTGCCAAGTTGTTGCTATAAAGATACAAATTGAAAAGAGCATTTATTAATATTAGTTCTTGCTTAATCTCTCACAGGTTTCCAGCTGTGTCTAATTTGACCCTATCTAGTTGCTTTCTTTATAAGCCACTAACTCTATATATATTTTTGTTAGATACGATAAAACCCATGCAAGAAAAATGTTATCATAAATATATTTGTCTCCCAACTTATTACAGTATGTCTTAACTTCATGCAGTATGGAATAAGATGTTCGTAGTGGAGGACATTTTGACAATGCGCCAACCAAATTTCTTCGTATCTGCAATGTCTGTTCATAGTATCATGTGTTTATCTATTTGGCTGTTTGCAGGGAATCAGCACCAGCTTTTGGACCCTACTATTATTACTATTACTGTATAGCTATAGTTTGGTGTGGCATTATCTCTTAAAGGCACCCTTGAGAGTAAAATATTTTTTAAAAATTTTTCGTGTGTGTGCTGTAAGGGAGGTCATTGTATTTTTTCTTTTCCATCAGCCATATTGCGTGGGATGAAAAACGTGTGTTTGGCAGCTGGTGTTTCTTTGCTGTTTACTCTTAAAATGATGCTCTCTCATTTCATGAATGCTTTAAGATCTATTTTTTTTTTGTTCCATCTTGCATTAGTGCCATAATTTTATTTTGTTTATAAATGATATGTAATCCAGTTTTTTTCATACTGTACTAGGATCTCGTAGTACAGTTGGCTTCATTCTTGAATTCGCAATCGGGAATCCCGGGTTCGATTCCCAGATGAGACAAATAGTTGGACATGTTTCCTTTCGTGTAATGCTATTGATCTAATAATAAATATGTACCCAGGAGTTAAGCAATTGTTATGGCCTTGCATCCTGGGAAGGATCAGTAGTACCTTGATACAAACCTAAAGTATATGTATATACACAGGCTCCCTGTCCTCAACAAAACCAATTATTAAATTATCATAATAAACACATTGTTTAATATCATAGTGATTAGTTACTGAAAGTCAGATTGATATATTTATGACAAGATTTGTTTAGTGAAAATAGGAATTAGTGTAATTTGAACTTTAAATTGAAATAGGACTAGGTAAAGGGTTTATGTATGAGAGAAAAAGTTTGTGTTGGAGATGGGACTTGGGTATTGGAGGTAGGATATGTGTAGTTGATATAGTACCTGCAGAGCAGAGCTAATTTATATAGTGTCCCGGTAGTGTAGTGCATTATCTTAATGGTCTCGATAGTACAGTACAGACAGGTTCGTTCTCGGCGCACAATCGAGAATTCGGGGTTAGAATCCCGAGTGGACAGAAATGGCCTCTGTTCACCTAACAGCAAGTAGGTATTCAGGAGTTAGTCGGCTTGTTGTGGAGTTACAACCTGGGCAGGGTCAGTAATTCGAACTTGGGGAGGGGGGGGGGGGACCTCGATAAAAGCTTAATATGTATGAATACACTCTGGCTTCCTCTCCCCCAACACAGTGAATTATTATTATAGTGTAGAAAACTTGTGCAATGGAGATATGCCATTTCAAGTGGAAAAATGAAAGATTTCTTCGGTGGAGAAGCGATTTACTTGGTGGTGAGAGGGCCTGTATATTTCCACCCAGTTTTTCACAACAGATCCTTGCAAGTCATAAAAAGCCTACCAGAGGCCAAAACCTGGTCACCTCACAGGGGCACAAGGGACAGATGATTAAAGATCACTTAAAACCAAGGAAAAAAAGTATTAGAATGTTAGATCAAACCAAAACAGACAACAGCTAGTTAAATAAATATAAAAACCCCATAAAAACTAAAAAATTAAAAAAATAAATAAACCCAAAATAAAGTAGTATAGGGTAAAATCAGTGCATAGAAAACTGTTGTCTGTTTGGTTCATGCTACCTTTCCAGTGGATTTTTTTCTTCAGTTCCTACAGTGATGAATCCTTTGCTTCTTGTGCCTCTGTGAGAAGATCAGGTTTTGGCCTCTGATCTCTGGTAGTTTTTTAAAGATTTGCAAGGGCCTGGTGTGACTCAAATTGGGTGGAGCTATCCAGGAACAACCCATCCTCGACTCAAGTCGATTACATCCAGCGGTCGACCCTACAGACACATTCATAAATTTTTACATGCTGTTCATTCAAAATGGGAATTTTCTCAAATATAAATTAATATTATAATATATTAGCATATTGTGTATATATATAGGCATAGGTTAGGTTAGGTGTATAGGTTCTGTTGGCGATTATTTGCATTTGTAGTACGTGGGGTGAAGCATTTACAGTGTTGTTGTTTGAACAAAATTCGTCAGTGAAGCACCTGTTCCAGAAGTGTTCAAACATCATCAGTTGTGAGTTGTGTGTAAACTGTTTTTCATTCATAAACAGGGGGTTTGGCAGGTGCATGGAATCACTTTTGGGTCTTTAGAGGATGGGCTGCCAGGAAGTTGCATTAGGGAGCAACCAAAGGACCCACTAGAAAGAGGTGTTTCATTGCATTCAACACTGTTTTTTTTCCATTGCATGAACTCTTCCTGTCCTGGTTTAAGTAACCCCTACCTCCTAAGCATTCCATTAACTAAGTACTTTTCAGTAAGTTAACTGGGATGTGTGTATGAGGGGGGGGTTGGGCACTGTGGTGTTATGTACATACATGTGAGCCAATAGCATTGCAAAGTCACTTTTCTCAATTTCTAAGCTTTTCTGTGTATAACAGATGACAGGCAACTTTCATGACTAAATCAATTACTGCAAGAAAAGAAGGTACAAGTCTTATATGACTTGTTTCGGAGCTATCCTAATTAGTTGCTTCGTAATGCAAGGACCTTTTTAGATGTCCTTGTTGAGTCATACTGGTGTTAGAGAGGTACTGGAAAATGTTAAATCATACCTGGAGTGATCTGTAGGAGGTTCATTTATATATACTCAAAGCCTTTCCATGAACTACTTGCCATCACAGAAAATGACAATGTCACTAACTTCCAGTTGGTCTACCTGGTTATCTCCCTGGATCCAAATAGAAGTACTTACACCACAACAGGGGTTCCCTATCTTGAACTGTTTTACATTCCCTTGACCTCAAAATATTCTCTTGAGCACAGGATTGAAGGGATGGAAAAGAGGACCCCCAGAAGGATTGAGTGCTCTGTCTAAAATGGAGCTATTCATTAAATGCTTCAAGACTTATTTCTGAATTATTTTGCTTGCATGCTGTCTAGGACAAGATGCACACTCAAAGCTAAAATAATAAAATTGAGCGAAACTTGCCTATCCTGCAGAGGTGTGCTAGTGGAAGCTGCTGGGGCAGGAATCGGCAGGGTAGTCACACATTCCTGAACTCAGATCCCACCAGAAGATTGTTCGTCAGGTAGAAAGCCTATCCAAGGCTGCACATTTTTCTAAACAATTTTTTTGTCTTGAAATCAAGGCTTGGCATTTTCTTTGATGGAAAGTAGCACTTGGAAAGGTCTTGAGTATGAATAAACGTTCTAGAAGTCAATCCACCCTAGATCAAGCATTTCCTCAGTATCTTTCTACCACCAGTGTAACTCGACAATGATGTTTGGAAAGATTCCTGTTATACCAGTGCAGAATCCAGACTTGACCTGACTAAGCATGATCTTAATCATGCAACTATTCAGATTTTGCCTTAAGAATCAATTGAGGATCCTGCTTAGAAAGGAAATACAGTATTCATATATATTAAATGGTTTGATTTTTATTTAGCAAAATAATTTTCTTATTTAATATATAAAATTCTGTTGCATTTTCTAGTATAGTATATGTATATTATTTAATTCCATTTTGTGTTTTCCTTTGAGTTATTGTCAACTTAAAATGACTGGAGTTTGTGAAGTGCTGTGCCTGTCATGTGTTAATGTGTCTGTGGCGTAACCTAAATTCTTGGATATGGAGCATTTGAATTTGCAGCAGTTAAAGAAAGAAATATAATTTGAAAATAGTTAATTATCATAAATAATATAAAATTTTCTTGTATTTAAAATGTTATCTTTACCTTGCATTGGATAATTTCTTATCTGACTCGGCTTTTGTGTCACAAGAAAGGTGAATGAGAAATTATTTACAAATATATAATATACTTTTAATATTTTCCATGCAATTCGTTTATTATTTTGAGATCTTAAGTGTACAATAGTAGCCAGTGACGTACTTTAGATAAAATTAATGACAATTAATAAACCTATATTTGGTATTACTTTTAGAAATCATGTGAAAAAATTTAATTACAAATCGATAAATTTCTTCAAATTTTATTTTAAAGCTTTAATGTATAAAGTAAGCTCAGCTTATAATTGTAGTCTTCAGATGTTCCACATTAGCTTACTAGCAACTGTTCATGCTGTCTCTGTGGGTGTAGATAAGTGCTTGGAGTGTAACCCCTTTGAAACAACTTTCACAGTGGTGGTGGTGTCGGCTATCCAAGATTTTGCCTCGCTGATTACACAAGTACAGTATTCAAAATTGGTAATGATTGGGATAATTATTTAAATTCCAGAACCAATAGAGCATAAAGTTAGAGTGTAAGTTCTGTAGACACCACAACCTATGTTGCTTGCGTAGATAATGTTGAATGCGCAAACTCCTACAGGACCTGAGTATGAACCTGATGACAAGAACACGACTTACACTTCTACCTCTACCCTCGACCGCCGCACCCCTTACCAGTCAACCTATCTCCGTAAGTTACTTCCTATCCTGCTGAAGCTTGCTTCCTTTCTATGCTAGTTTTAGCCTTATCTATATATAATTGTTAGTTAAGGTCTGCCATTTAAGAATACAGTACAAGTTAATTCACCTCCTCAGTCCACATGTAATGAAAAAACAATTAAATAAAAGAATATTAATATTAATCAAAATTTAATTGTTTTTATGATTATGGAGAGGAAAAATGATGCATGAATACTGGTACAGACATTCAAGGTTTGGTTAGTATTTGTATTTTTTCTTTAGTTTGTAAAATGTAAGGCAAGTTTAAATACAGAAGGCATGTTTTGGCCTTTCCCTTTGACATCCTTTGTTGTAACATTATAGCAGTTTTGTTAGGTATTACAGTAAAAGCTGCATTATTGTTTAAAACTGTTGTATCATTTGAACCTACAATGTAATGTTACTGTAGTTCTGTTTTAGTTACGTTTCATTTTCTTTGTAAAGAAAATCTGCACCATGGTGGTTTTCTATAGCTATCTTGCTGAGATAACTGGCTCTCCCTTTACTGGGTCACATCAGCCACAAGAGCTGTATAGGGCCTACTGGGGGATCAGAGCCACAACCTGGCCCCCCCCCCCCTTCACAGAGGCACAACCTGCCCCCCCCCCCCTTCACAGAGGCACAGCGTGTGGGGGGATTATTACTATCATCCTCACCAAGAAAACATTCCAGAAAGTAAGTAAAGCAAATTGGACAACTGCAAGGTTTTGCAGAAATGAAGTGTTGAAATGGCCAAATGACTCTGCAAACATTTCACTCGGAAACTAGCTCAAGCCCCTCTATTTAAAACTGATTACCAACAGGTGGCAGCACCACCCCACCACTGGAAGCTCCTGGCTTCTGCCACCATCTTTACCTCAATCCTGTCCCTGATATCTGTGAATACAGACTTTCCGGATTCACCATCTGTAGCGAGTCCCACCTCTTTTCAAGATAAGTGTAAGCCATCCATGGGCACTGTCCTGTTGGGCCATTTACTTGTGTGTCATTCCTGACCTTTAGTATTTGCTTCAGGTGAGTGTGTTTCAAACCTCAATTGTTGCACGTACTTGGAATAGACCAAAGAAGAAGAAAAGAAAAGAAAAGAAAAGAAAAGAAAAGAAAGAAAGCGAAGAAAAGCGCTTTGCTTCTGCCCTAAACACGTGTATTTAGGGTAGCCCTTCTCTAAGCATTCATTTAGCATTGAGTGTGACTTCAATAGTGCACTGACAGTGGGTTTTCAATAGTGTGTTTGGGAGTTTGCCCCTGAGAGGCAAGGATACAATGTAGACCCTTGCCCTGTACATTGTAAGAGTTTCTAACTTCTTTATGAGACACTGTGGTTGGGGCATTTAGGGCATTTTATTGTGAAGTGTGCTAGAGTTTGCATGCTTTTCATACTGCCCACCACTGATGCCCTCTGTAGCTGTGTTGATCCTGTATACTGAGTTCAGTCTTAATTCTCTCAGAGAGCATTCTTTATGCCTAGGTGTCCTGCTTGGTTGTTCCTTTAGGCCCTGGTAACTTCCCTGCAAGTCTTTGGTGTGACTCGCAAAGGATCGACCCACTGAGCTCATGCTCGCCACTTGCACATTTGAACTGAGGGTAGTTCAGTTCTACCATAGAACTGAGGGCAGTGTCACTGGTTAACTGCAAACTACCAACCCCCTCCCACCAAACAAGTGGGAGACATTAGGCAGATGAGCTGGCACTTGTTTTGAAACGTTTCAATCATTTGTTTACAATGTTGGGAGGTCTTCTGGCAGTTCATAAGGCTATGATCTCTACTATAGCCAGCTGTGGTTTGTTTTGTCTCACTGACTTTCTGGATTCCTTTCCTAGTTGTGGCATAAATAAACAAATAAATAAATAAATATATATATATATATATATATATATATATATATATATATATATATATATATATATATATATATATATATATATATATGCGAACAAGCCTGAATGGTCCCCAGGACAATATGCAACTGAAAACTCACACCCCAGAAGTGACTCGAACCCATACTCCCAGAAGCAACGCAACTGGTATGTACAAGACGCCTTAATCCACTTGACCATCACGACCGGACATAATGAGGTGATAGCCTAAGCTATTTGAACCACCCCACCGCCGGCACTCGGATAGTAATCTTGGGCATAGCATTTTACCAAATCACCTCATTCTTTGGGGCACACGTGAGGAACACAAATGCGAACAAGCCTGAATGGTCCCCAGGACAATATGCAACTGAAAACTCACACCCCAGAAGTGACTCGAACCCATACTCCCAGAAGCAACGCAACTGGTATGTACAAGACGCCTTAATCCACTTGACCATCACGACCGGACATAATGAGGTGATAGCCTAAGCTATTTGAACCACCCCACCGCCGGCACTCGGATAGTAATCTTGGGCATAGCATTTTACCAAATCACCTCATTCTTTGGGGCACACGTGAGGAACACAAATGCGAACAAGCCTGAATGGTCCCCAGGACAATATGCAACTGAAAACTCACACCCCAGAAGTGACTCGAACCCATACTCCCAGAAGCAACGCAACTGGTATGTACAAGACGCCTTAATCCACTTGACCATCACGACCGGACATAATGAGGTGATAGCCTAAGCTATTTGAACCACCCCACCGCCGGCACTCGGATAGTAATCTTGGGCATAGCATTTTACCAAATCACCTCATTCTTTGGGGCACACGTGAGGAACACAAATGCGAACAAGCCTGAATGGTCCCCAGGACAATATGCAACTGAAAACTCACACCCCAGAAGTGACTCGAACCCATACTCCCAGAAGCAACGCAACTGGTATGTACAAGACGCCTTAATCCACTTGACCATCACGACCGGACATAATGAGGTGATAGCCTAAGCTATTTGAACCACCCCACCGCCGGCACTCGGATAGTAATCTTGGGCATAGCATTTTACCAAATCACCTCATTCTTTGGGGCACACGTGAGGAACACAAATGCGAACAAGCCTGAATGGTCCCCAGGACAATATGCAACTGAAAACTCACACCCCAGAAGTGACTCGAACCCATACTCCCAGAAGCAACGCAACTGGTATGTACAAGACGCCTTAATCCACTTGACCATCACGACCGGACATAATGAGGTGATAGCCTAAGCTATTTGAAAAATGGTAAAATGGTAACTAATAGCTATTTGGTAAAATGCTATGCCCAAGATTACTATCCGAGTGCCGGCGGTGGGGTGGTTCAAATAGCTTAGGCTATCACCTCATTATGTCCGGTCGTGATGGTCAAGTGGATTAAGGCGTCTTGTACATACCAGTTGCGTTGCTTCTGGGAGTATGGGTTCGAGTCACTTCTGGGGTGTGAGTTTTCAGTTGCATATTGTCCTGGGGACCATTCAGGCTTGTTCGCATTTGTGTTCCTCACGTGTGCCCCAAAGAATGAGGTGATTTGGTAAAATGCTATGCCCAAGATTACTATCCGAGTGCCGGCGGTGGGGTGGTTCAAATAGCTTAGGCTATCACCTCATTATGTCCGGTCGTGATGGTCAAGTGGATTAAGGCGTCTTGTACATACCAGTTGCGTTGCTTCTGGGAGTATGGGTTCGAGTCACTTCTGGGGTGTGAGTTTTCAGTTGCATATTGTCCTGGGGACCATTCAGGCTTGTTCGCATTTGTGTTCCTCACGTGTGCCCCAAAGAATGAGGTGATTTGGTAAAATGCTATGCCCAAGATTACTATCCGAGTGCCGGCGGTGGGGTGGTTCAAATAGCTTAGGCTATCACCTCATTATGTCCGGTCGTGATGGTCAAGTGGATTAAGGCGTCTTGTACATACCAGTTGCGTTGCTTCTGGGAGTATGGGTTCGAGTCACTTCTGGGGTGTGAGTTTTCAGTTGCATATTGTCCTGGGGACCATTCAGGCTTGTTCGCATTTGTGTTCCTCACGTGTGCCCCAAAGAATGAGGTGATTTGGTAAAATGCTATGCCCAAGATTACTATCCGAGTGCCGGCGGTGGGGTGGTTCAAATAGCTTAGGCTATCACCTCATTATGTCCGGTCGTGATGGTCAAGTGGATTAAGGCGTCTTGTACATACCAGTTGCGTTGCTTCTGGGAGTATGGGTTCGAGTCACTTCTGGGGTGTGAGTTTTCAGTTGCATATTGTCCTGGGGACCATTCAGGCTTGTTCGCATTTGTGTTCCTCACGTGTGCCCCAAAGAATGAGGTGATTTGGTAAAATGCTATGCCCAAGATTACTATCCGAGTGCCGGCGGTGGGGTGGTTCAAATAGCTTAGGCTATCACCTCATTATGTCCGGTCGTGATGGTCAAGTGGATTAAGGCGTCTTGTACATACCAGTTGCGTTGCTTCTGGGAGTATGGGTTCGAGTCACTTCTGGGGTGTGAGTTTTCAGTTATATATATATATATATTTGTTTATTTATGCCACAACTAGGAAAGGAATATATATATATATATATATATATATATATATATATATATATATATATATATATATATATATATATATATATATATATATATATATATATATATATATATATATATATATATATATATATATATATATATATATATATATACAACTTTAGAACACTTTCCCACCAGGAGACTCGAACCCTAGCCAGCACAGAAGCCTTCCAGCAACTGGCATAACAGGTACGCCTTAACCCGCTCCACCACCCGCTCAGACCCTTAAAAGAGATGGTAATTTCGGAGTATTTAAATACCCCAAAGATCAACACCTCCCAAGAGCACCAGAGCAAGTGAGGGGTCATTTATACGTTAATTTCATCAAGTCCCTGTTAATATGGGAAGACACAGTGTCTCTGCTTAAGGCACAACTCTCCTAAACACGAGAGTTAAGTATACAACTTTAGAACACTTTCCCACCAGGAGACTCGAACCCTAGCCAGCACAGAAGCCTTCCAGCAACTGGCATAACAGGTACGCCTTAACCCGCTCCACCACCCG